AAAAAAAAAATAAGGAAACAGAAAAAGAGAATTTCCAAGTGGACCAATTACAACTCAAGAAATAAACCAGCTGACCAGTTGACATTAACGAGGTGGTATTGGTTCATTGGTTAAGCTACAGCCATAATAGATTCTACACTAAACCACTACAAATTAAAAGGGAAGGGGGGGGGGAATCCCAACATTTCTTAACATAATACATAATCAATATTGCACAGAAAAATGCAAATAACTTAATATAAAAAATACAAATTAAAAGCTAATATGACTACAGGAACATTAAAAGAGTGCAAAGATGCAAAAATCTAGTTAAAAACATAGAAACATAGTTGCTGCTAAGGGTGGCCCAACCAGTTATCACAATCATTTTTATCACACAGGGCGATGTAGGTTTGGACTTTTTCCCCTTTAATATAAAACTGGTTAATTTAGAAACTTCATTTTGTGTTTACTTGTGTTATCTTTGTCTGATATTTAAATTTGTTTGATGATCTGACATATTTAAGTGTGACAAATATAAAATAAGGGGGAAAACACATTTTCACACCACTCTACATTGATTAATATGAATTTGTTGAATAAATATGCAGAAAACCATTTGCAAGCAGTACCAGTGATGCCATCTAGTTTTGTATTCTGGTGATAAGAGTAGCATGATCAGTGGTATCAAAGACTGCAGATAAGTCAAGCACAACTAACATGAAATATTTTCTCTTATCCGAGTGCATAAGAATACCATTAGCAATTTTTTTTTCTTTTTAATAAAGTTGTTTCAGTGCTGTGGTTTTGTCAATAACCAGATTGAGAAGCAACAACTTTCTCGAAGACTTTGGCAATTGGCCCATAATGACCTAAAAACAGTGGAATCTAAGGAGGGATGTTTTCCCTAGAGGAAAGACGCTGGGTAAGATAAATGGAATGATTTATAATAGAGAAAAGCCAAGGACAGATGACAAGTAGAACCTGCTAATGAATTTAGGACAGACAATGTCCACTGGGCAGGAAAACGTGTGCAATAATGGGACGTATGGGACAAAAGTGTGTGAAATAATGTCAAGGAGATATGTTGAGAAAATTAGTTTAAACTCTGAGAAGAGAACTGATCAAGAGATTTGAGTCGGTTGAAGACACACAGACTTGATGCAGTCACTGGAATACATGGCAGGGAAAGCAGATTGAGGGAGATTAAGGAATCTGCTGATGGTGTCAAACAAAAATATTGGATTAAGTTTATTACCATTAGTCAAACCAGCAAAATAAGATGTAATATCTTTTATAAGTTGGTGAAGTATGTTTAGTAAGTCCTTCATATAGTGTTATTATCCTC